GGGGGGAGGGGGGAATTAACCGTAAATCCACCACTGCATCGTGCAGCCCCTTCTTTTGTGTGCTACAGGCAAGGCGAACAGGGTTTGTTACGGCTTGGAAAAAGGCGTGGACATGATTTGTTATGGCTACCGAACAGTTTCGCCTTTCTGGGAATTGATAGGTTTGGGAAGAACTGCTCGGCCGTATATAAATATTTTTGCCAGTGTGGAGACACCTCTGTGCCCTGCTCGGACCAAGATATTGGACCTGCAGAGGTGTCTCTGCAGTTTCACCAAGATTTTGGTAGCCTGCTTTGGTCCAAGCTTGGACCAAGATATGAACCAAGATATTGGACCTGCAGAGGTGTCTCTACAGTTGCACCAAGATTATGGTAGCCTGCTTTGGTCCAGGCTTGGACCAAGCTTGGCACACCAAGCTTGCACCTCTGTGCCACACGCTTGGACCAAGGTATCGGACCTGCAGAGGTGTCTTTACGGTTGCCAGATTTTGGCAGCCTGCTCATGTCCTATCCATGCCGGCGACCTTGTACGGGTCTCCACGGAAGAATTTGCGCTCGAACAGGACGTTTCGCGCAAACTACTCCCCAAGTGGTTTGGACCATGGACCGTCACATCAAGTCAGCTGCGGGCGACGAGCCCGATGGCCCATCTTTTGTGATTGGTCCAAGCTTGCTCCTCCGTGCCAAGCTTGGACCAAGATATCGGACCTGCAGAGGTGTCTCTACAGTTTCACCAAGATTATGGTAGCCTGCTTTGGTCCTAGCTTGGACCAAGCTTGGCACAGCAAGCTTGCACCTCTGTGCCACACTTGGACCAACGCAGGTTACCAAAGTGTTTGTTTCCGTTAGTTTGGTTTGCGGGCGGTGGTGGTGGTCCCAAGCAAGGGGAAGGGTTTGGAATCTTGGATAGAGTTTGTTGCGAGGGTAGAGCAGAAAACTGTTTCAATAACTTTTTATCTTCTTTGTACTCCTTACCGAATTCAGAAAGAAGAGAAAGGCTCAGAAGTACCCCTGACCGCTGTGTAAAGGGGCGCACACATATACTTGGAAGAAAAAAAAAAAAAGAAAAAAAAAAAAGGAAGAGGAGTTGGTTCGCAGTTCACTTCTGTGAATGGCTATGCTGAGGGGTAGCATTCAAACTTGAAGCGTGTTCTTCACTTCAAAAGGTACCGACTCTACTGAGGCCATCCGTGGTAAAGCCAGGTCTGGAGGCGGGTCAGGTCTGGGGCCAGGCACGACTTTAAGCTTCAATTTGAGTTTACTGTACATGTGAATCATTTTTTGTTCCCCTCCCCCCCCAAAAAAAAGAAGAAAAAAAAGAACCGATTTCAGGGGAAAAGAAGGCAGCTAGAAGAAACTAGCTCCTAAAATTCAGATACGGACCGAGTCTACATCAGCGGTTAACCCATCTGTCTGTTGGTACCTTAAGATCTGTACCTGAGTTTGAAGCCCCAATCCAACGACTGAAGATATGTGTGTGTGTGTGTGTGTGTGTGTGTGTGTGTGTGTGTGTGTGTGTGTGTGTGTGTGTCCTCAGTGCCGTGCACGGCCTTCCATTTTGATGCCGCACACTGTGCAGCTTTCACACCTCTGCCATGTCATTGGTGTGCGGCATGCGGCTTTCGAAAAGACACAGAAACACTGCCGAGTGTGAATTTTCTGTGAAGCCGCGTTGCACAGCTTCTGTGCCATGTTGCTCACATTGTTTTTTACACGGAGCATGGCGTGCAGGACGACCAGCTGGTTGTAATGGCATGCAAGTGGGCCCACAATTTCTGCCGAGCTGTCCCCACAATGTGTGATGGTAGACCTGCTTTTGCCTTTTAGTATGGAGTGCGGAAAAACGTTTTTAAAAAAAGGACAGTGACACCTTACGGTTCTTGTAGTGCATGTGCGTTCATTGAGCCGACAGAAGGTAACCCTCCCCCTCAGTACGGATGTGAATGGTGTACGGATTTATAAATAAAATAAAAACAGGAAGAAAAGGAATAGTCTTTGGACAGGATGAGAATAAGTCTACAGGCCAAAAACAAAAAACTCATTGATTAATCAATCGTTGCCTCCAGGCGCGAAATCCAATAGGTCCGAAATTCGCAAATTAATTATAATGTAGAAATCAATTTCTCCCTCCAGGCATCGAACCTGCAACCTGCTGGTTGGAAATCAGAAACCTTACCTCAATGAAAATGACGCTGGGACGAAACTGAAGCTCCCAGATGCGAATTTCAGCCCACCCCCGCATGGTCAGTACACATACAGCCATGACCCGGTGTACCCAGTCGCATCAACCAAGTAGCCCTCCCTGAAAAAGAATAGTCCTAGTCGGCCTTCGTGACATTCGTTAAAACTTAAAATTGGAACGATACAGAGAAGATTAGGATGGCCTCTGTGCAAGGATGACACGCATCAATCAAGTCGAATAGTCTTATTAGTATATATGGAGTCGTGGACACGTACCACTAGTGAAATAGCAGTTCAGCGCACAAATATGGTATACGTGGTGTGCATGCGCACCATCAGTTGAAGGAACGGCAAAAAGGAAGCATGTGATCGTTGTGATGTACATTGCTTTTTTAAGCAAAAAGCGACAGTTGGTTGCGTTCGAAAATAAGAATATGCGACTAACACTCAGTGCATTGCTTGGCGTAGTGTTCACGGATGGGGAAAAAAAAAAAAAAAAGAAGAGGACAAAGAATGAAGTAAAGAAAGAAAGTGAAATCTCCACTACTGTCTGACTTTATGGTTGTTCCTTTGAATGTGTTTACGTATGCTGCAGGCCACGTCTTCGGCACCAACGCATACTCATCCATCGCCGAAACCATTTCAGCTGACGTGGGACTACGTCATCCGGCTCACTTCATGCGCTGTTATCTTGTATGCATTTGCCAGCGTGATGGTTTTCATCCTAAGGAGTCTACCTCCAGTCTAGCCTGCGCCTTTCCCTGCTTCTCCCGTCTTTTGATGTTCGCTTTCTGCTTTTTTTTGTACCCAGGCTTTATGTTTTCGTCTCGTTATGTTGGGGTGTCTTTTACAACCATTTGGTTCATATGTGCCCCTCGTCTTTATCTTTGATTTGTCTTTTTTCACCCTTCGCTTATTGGAGGGGGAAAGTAAAAGGAGGAGAGGAGGGGGGTAGAGGGGGGAGGGGCGGGGCGGAGGGTGCAAGTTGGTTGGTCTTCTCTGTCCTGTATCTCCCAGGCTCTTGACCTGGGTGTTCAATTTGATCATTCTTTATTCGTGCCTATTATGATAAGCTGGTAAATTAACAGTACATGTTAAGTTAACAAAGTGACTGTGACAGTGTAAGTGTCTGCAGTGACTTTGCATTTAATAATCTGATATTCGTGTTCTGTTTCTGAATTTACTGTAACCATACGCTTCTGAACATTGTGTACTGGTGTTCATTTCCTTGTCTTCATGTACGTCAAAAATAGGCTTCTTCCCCCCTCTGCCACCTCCCCAACTCTTCCTCTCCGGTGCCCCCAACTATCACCCTCTGCCACCCCCCAAAACCCTCACCCTCACCCCCCCCCCCCCCCCCCCCCCCCCCCCCCCCCCCCCCCCCCCCCCC